TACACATGATGCTTATGCATTGTCTAAATTGTTCCTTTTATATGCATCAGCACCAAGTCTGCACAGCTGCAATTCCCTTGTGCCGTAAGACCGCTTCACACGCCTGCAATATGTGCCCACCGACATGAAGCAAAAATTCTAGCAGTTCAGTTCACTTCCCGAAGAAACGTAGCAGCGCCCAGTTGCTGGCGATTACTGCTTGACACCCTGAGGATGTTTTATGGCCCATTGAAGATGGGTGCATGCCGACCAACAAGATAAATTCTCGAAAACTGAACGTACTGCATTCTCGTATAAAAGTAGTTCCTTTTTTTTACGATTCATCTCTCAACATCACTGACAACTGAACTTAGAGTTTTCAGACATTAGATCGGTACAAATTGATCAAGATAAAGTATTAGCAGATGTGGCGGTGAATACAACAACCATGACAGTCTCGTTGCTGTCTTCAAATTGTCTTAGACAGGGTTAGCGGAATGGCATCGAGAAATACGAATCATTTTTTTAATGAACGATCTATTTGATTTGCTATAAGACGCTTCAAAAAAAAGACATCAATAACCAAGACCAACAGCTAGACACACCACGAACACTTTAATTGCTGGCAATCGCCATTCGTTCCAATTTTTCAATTCTTCATATTATTTGATCTCGTCTACAGAAACAAAAAATACCTGGACCAATCTGAATCAACTGTCACTTGTGGAGTTACATCCCTTTAGAACGTCTCAGAGTGTTTCAATTTTCCAAACTGCTTCCCAACTTGTAAATTGATCGACACCTTTTTTTCTTAAAAACACTCCCTCTTTTGAGAGTTCAACTTTCAAGATATGACCCACCCCTTCACCAGGACTAACATCAAATTCTACTCTAATTATTGTTCTACGAAACCAGCGAGTAAAATAGGAAAACAATATGAAGCGCCCCATAGGATCAGCACAACAAGGATATGTGTCTCAACAGCAACAATATGAAGGGGGGGATGGATCTCTCGTCCCTTGCGAACCCAGTCATAGCGCACTCGACGCATCTCCTCATTTAGAAGTCATCCATGGAGAGCAATCATCCACCACAGCAGCTTCACCGAGCTTGTCTCTCCCATCGACACCCGTAGCGCTTCACTCCTCTGCCTTGTGCTCAAATTCTCGTTCTTTCAATAAATGTCGAAGGCTCTCTTTATCCGAATTGTCTCCTTCACAAAGTCCTCCCGTTCTTCAAGGCCTTCCTTTCCCATTGTCCACGTCATCGTACACTTCTTCCGTAGAGCGTCCATCACAACATGATGATCGACACAGATGACGTTTATTACACTGTTGGATCGGCGGTTGATTGCACCCAGCCACAGGACGCACGATCCATCTGTCATCGAGCCTCACGGATTTCTACTTCCAACTTCAACCCTTCGGCCCAAGGAGAGTCCCTCACCTGCTCTCGTCTGGCCTGTCGTGTGGCTTGGTTCCTCAACATCTTCGTAGATACTGCTCTATCATCGTCTGTCATCCCAATTCTTCCCCGTGAATTGAAGCAGGATCAATTCCATGAGGCACTCATCATGGGATCTGGTGCCATCACTGCGACGCTTCTAGGTCGGAATGATTGTCCCTCGTCAACTGCAACCCTTTTTTTTTCTCAGGACCTATTTGTGGCTGGTTATCCGATGATCGTGGATGGGCGCTCATCTTGATTTGGTTCTATCCCTTGATTTTTACCAGCGCTGTGCTGATGATGTCCGCTAGAAAATCCTTTGGAAGGTTCCTAATCGCTCGACTAATCGCTGGTGCTGGTTCGGGGTTTCATGTATCCGAGTAATCTCAGTATGGTTGTAGCAACGCATCACTCAGATCTTCGCAGCAGCGCAGTTGGATTCAACCTTGCTGGTGATGTGGGATCCTTAGTCTCTCCAATCGTCTCCGGATATATTTATGACTTGGGCGGTCTAACGCTCGTCTTTTCCGTTCTTATCGCTCTCTCTGTTTTCGCAACGCTCGTGTTCTTTATCGTTCCTTCGGTTTCATCTTCAACGAATCTATTTCACTACATTTCCAATAGGAGACGGTCTTCTCCACAAATGAGCCTTTCTGATCCCTTTTCTCTTGCCATCATCCACTTTTCTTCCGTCTTTCCCTCGAAATTCTCAAGCTCCTCCTTTCGCTCAACTTTCCGAACACCCTCTCTCTCTTTCTGCAATCAATGGAGCAGTTGGGACACGAAGAGGTTCAGAGTCCCAATCCTGTCCCAGTCACTCACCCCGACTTCAACCCTCACACTCATTTCGCGCTTCCGTTTACGCATGGGAGTCCCACTAAATCTGCAATCAATGGAGACAGTTGGGACACGAAAGAGGTTCAGAGTCCCAATCCTGTCCCAGTCACTCACCCCGACTTCAACCCTCACACTCATTCGCGCTTCCGTTTACGCATGGGAGTCCCACTCCACCGTATTTCTACAGTTTACATTTGATGGAGCCTCCTCCAATACGAATGCAGGGACGCGAGATCCATAAGTCTCCCACTCGGCGTCCCTCTGGATTCTTCGGCCGAATTCGATCGATGCTCGACGAATTTAGCGTCTTTTCGACTTCTGCTTTTCTATCAAGATGTGGGGGCGCTCTTTTACTGTTGGTATGTCAATTATCGCTACCGTCAATTATCGCTTCCGTCAAATGTCGCTTCCGTCTCCCATCTCCCGCTTTTCAGGGGGTCTTGCCGTCTCCCTGCAGTCCATTTTGCCAATTATATGGGATCGTCAATTCAATATCAGCCCGTCAAAGATTGGAGTTCTATTCGCCCCCCATTTGGTTCTACGAGTGGCCGTCTCTGCATTCTTTCCCCTTCTTCAGCGACGTCACGGCAACTCCACTGCATACACTCATTATCCGTCGGGCTTTTCGTCTGCACGCTATCAACATTTGCCTTGGCAGCTCTCCAACCACAACTCCTGCAGTTCATTCGGTCGTTGTAGCATTCGTGGGGTTTGGTTTGGGCCTCACAGACTCATGCATCACCGCGTGGGCTGGAAGAGCAGATTTTCAGGATCCTTCTTCTCCCTCGTCGAATATCAATGGAAGTGAGGCGTTCCGTGCAGAGCTTTTTGCCTTGTTGGCGCTTGCATGCGATGCTGGGATGTTCGTTCTTCCGATCATCGTTTCCTCGCTTTCTGAGTTCTTGTCCTTCACCGTCGCTTTTGGTGTTCTTTCTGTGTTTGGAATTATTGTTCTGGTTTTTTCTCTTTATTTCGGTCATGCCGATGCAGAGGAGAGACTTCGCGCTTCAAATTCACGGACCACGATCGATTCATGTTTTGTTGCTGGAACAAATAACATCCAAACAAATCACTCGATTGCATGAAGGATCTCTTTGTGTCCCAATGAGTCAGCAATAGCCACAAAACTGTTTTTCCTCGTTATTGCGCTTTTTTTAATTCTAGTTCGCTTATTTGCTAGCGCCCCACTGGTTTAGCCAGAATTTTCATAATTCTTTGCTGAGGTTCTGATAACGAATGATGAACACGAGAGTACAATCGCTTTTCCCTGCTGCAAAATTTCTGCAATTTTGTGTTAAAAGAGATTTGAAAGCTTTCAAGTTTTTACAAAACAACCAGACAGCACGAAACAACCAGACAGCACGTTCATGTTCTACGAATTGCTACAATTAACCAAAAACGGCAAAAGATTGGTGAACTTGAAATCTTGCATAAACAGGAAACCCACGCATTCAAAACTCTTGAATTGGAGAAATCAGGGCTGTCTGATTCTGCCTTGTACTCCACCCCCTATTTGCCACTTCTGAAACTGGAACTCTTGCCTCGGCTCGAATCTACACTCTTTTTCGCGTCAGCCTCGCATGCAACCAACTCCGAGTTAATCTTTTCGAGTAAATGATTCCTTTCTTCTGGGGGGGGGAGGAAGCTTCCTCGCAGTGTCGCCGTTTTTGTTTTTCATTGAAGCTAGACGGGGCTGCTTCGAGCAATATAATGGATCATATCACAGCAACTTCGCATCGCCGGAGAACTATGGATGTTGGCCGACAGCATTCCTTCAACAAACGAATGCAGAGCAGTTGTATTCCCATCGGAAATCTCCAAAATATTCGAGTCCTCGATCAAAACCTTAATAGCCTCGGTACGGCGACCAACAATTACTTTATGGGCGGCTTCGAGAGCGTTTCCGTTCTCAATAAGCGGCGGTGAATTCTCGAGAAAGCCTCTTAATTTATTCAAATATGCGTCACTGCAAGGTCCGCTCTTCAATTTCTCCAGATGCTTGGGTTAATTCTCTGCACAGTGAATGATGATTATCAGTCCAGCATCATTGAAGCCTCAAAACTTACTTGTACCGATTGTCCGTTGCTGTACCCGATGAGGCATTCGTCGTTGAGGTTGAGGCTTTCGTCGTTGAGGTTGAGGCTTTCGTCGTTGACTTGGTTAGAGTCTTCATTGAGGCTTTCGTCGTTGAGGCCTCCCTTGGGGTCTTCGTTGAGGCGTCCCTTAGGGTCTTTGTCGAGGCCTCCCTAGGGTCTTTGTTGAGGCCTCCCTTAGGGTCTTTGTTGAGGCTTTCGTCTTCGTTGAGGCCTTTTTTGAGGTGGACGAACTTTGCGCTGCCAATTCATCCCAAGTCGCAAGATCAGATACGAGTTTCGTTCTTTCGGCAGGAAGCGTTATTCCAACTAACGGGAGGATGTGTGCGACCAGTTTTTGTGTTTTCGCTGTACTGGAAGACACAGAAGAGGGGGGCACAGGTCTGACGAAGCGACTTCATTTTGATCACTGGGCCTGCTTGCCTGAATTCATCACCGACCAATTCATGGGACAGTGAAGAGTTGTACATTCATGTGACAGAAAAAAACGAACTGCTAAAATTCAATCTTCCCTTAACAGAAGAGTTTTCTTTAATCTTTACATGCAGAGTCACGAACAGGGTTCCAATATTTTCAGAAATATTATAAGACGTCCCTAATGCTGACTCATTCAAGTGATCCATTCACCCCACACAAATGATGAACATGAGAGTCCAGAAGGTCTGCACGATGCAATGCGAACCTGATAGTCGCTGTCGGCAGGGCCCAGTGGTTTGTGGACGAACGTGTGGAACTTTTTTTTGGCGCTAGTGGTCCACTTACACCCGTTTTGTTTACTGCAATGGATGGGCCTCTAAGAAGAAGGTTGGACTCGCGTATGGAGGAAGGTAAGATTTGGAATCCATCGAAATGATTGATGCGACTCGTTAGACGCAACAATTGCCGCGCGAGAAGAGAATTGAGTCCGAGACACCACCACCAGCTTCAAGATCATCATTTGCGTACTTGGCATCCCTCGGAGGGATTGAAAGCAACATCCCATCACCTGAGCCAGTTCCGATCAACCTTAAAGCCGTTCCAGATGAAGCTGACGTGACGGCGGAAAGAATGAAGTTCAACATGGGCGTGTTCCGATTTGCCAATGGTTCGGATAAAGCGCTATTGATTCTTGGCATTGTGATGAACCTCGTCAACGGTTGTGCTATGGTGAGTTGAACAGGTGAAGTTATTCCTTGATCTATAATTTTTTTTCGCAGCCGATCTTCATGATGATCTTGCGGTCAGTTGTTTATTCCTAATGATGCTTTCATCCAAATAACCATCCACGCGCGTACAAATCTGTTTCTTCTAGGGATCTCATAAACGCCTTCGGAGATCCTGCGAATTCAACGCACGACGTTAACTACTTTGTCTTGATTCAAGTCTACATCGGTAATACCATCACTCTTAGAGTAGTCCAATTTTCTCTGTTGTAGGCATTGCATCCTTCGTTGTGAGCGCCATTGGAGCGGCTGCTATCGATCTTGCCGCAGAACGACAAATCAGAGAAATGCGGCATCATTACTTGGACGCTGTCATGCGCCAGGAAATGGGATGGTTTGACACGTTCGACTCGGGAACACTTGCTTCGCGATTGAATCAAAATTGCGTGAATATCAGGTGAAACTTTTGTTGGGACACACCCTTCTGTCGAGAGTTGGGACACACCCTTCTGTCGAGAGTTGGACACACCCTTCTGTCGAGAGTTGGGACACACCCTTCTGTCGAGAGTTGGGACACACCCTTCTGTCGAGAGTTGGGACACACCCTTCTGTCGAGAGTTGGGACACACCCTTCTGTCGAGAGTTGGGACACACCCTTTCTGTCGAGAGTTGGGACACACCCTTCTGTCGAGAGTTGGGACACGCAGCTTTGAAATACGCTTGCTGTCATTTTTAGTTCAGCTCTTGGCGTCAAATATTTTCCTCATCGCTGTTTGTTCCATCAGAGACGGAATTGGTACAAAATTGGGACAATTGTTCATGTTCCTTGCAATGGTAAATCGTCTTTTTTCATCGAGTTTTTTTCTAATTCTTATCATTTTTTTTCAGTTCATCGGTGAGAAATGAAATCACAATTCTGATGGCTCTCTTCCCGCTATGACGGTCAGGTGGTTACGTTGTTGGTTTTATACGCGGTATGTATTCATTCAAGAAGCGTTGTACATCATACTGTTGTAGATGGAAAATGGCGTTAGTGTTGAGTGCTGCGCTCCCTCTTCTTGCTGCTGCTGGATTTTTTATGATGAAGCTTCTGAGTTCCTCCGCCGAAGTTGCTGGTCAGCAATAACAGTAAACTAACAATTCTTGCTCCAATGGCCACCCATAATTCTTCTAGTACGCATATTGTTTGTCTTCAGCTCAGAAAGCGTACTCAAAGGCAGGTTCTGTGGCTGAAGAGGTTCTAGGCAGCATCCGAACCGTCGCCGCATTTGGTGCAGAACAGAAGTCTATACTGAGGTTTGTCTCTTTGATGATTTCAATCAGGCTTTCCTTTAGGTATGAAGTGCATCTGGATGAAAGTCGCAAGCAAGGAGTCAAGGGAGGTTTATCGATGGGATTCGGTCTTGGATTAACGCTAGGCGTCATGTTTCTCTCTTATAGTCTTGGGTAAGTCGCTCTCGAAGCTTTCAGTACCACGGCGCTCACTTCAGGTTCTGGGTACGGTGGAAAGCTGGTCGCTGATGATAAAGAAGCAGATGCGAAGGAGATTCGTGTTTTCGTGGGGGAAACGCCCTCGCGGTTTTCTTCGCCGTGATCATCGCCGCATTTTCGCTTGGACAGGCTGGACCGCCGTTAACTAGTTTCCTCAAAGCGGGTGCAAGCGCGGAAGATTTGCTCGCTCTTATCGACCGCAAGTCAAAAATTGACGTTTATGACAAGAGTGGAAAAACTGACGTGAACATTAAAGGAGATGTTGTGTTCAAAAATGTTCATTTTCATTATCCATCGCGTCCTGAAAAGCAAATATTCAACGGGATCAATCTTCACATTCCAGCTGGGAAAACCGTTGCGCTCGTTGGAGGGTCTGGCTGCGGGAAATCAACAATTATTCAGATGGTTCAACGGTTTTTATGACCCTGATGAAGGAGAAATCTTGATTGATGGGGTTGCAGTCAAAGATTACAATACAACGTGGATTCGGGACCAAATGTCCTTTAGTCAGTCAAGAGCCGCGATTATTTGCTCGTTCAATCGCTGAAAATATTCGGGACGGTAGACTTGGTGCGACAATTGATGAAGTTCAAAGCGCGGCCAAAAACGCAAACGCTTGGAGCTTTATTTCGGAATTCCCTGAAAAGTTTGATACTTTTGTTGGAGAAGGAGGTTTCTCAGCTTAGTGGTGGACAGAAGCAACGCATTGCTATTGCCCGTGCCATGCTTCGCGATCCAGCCATTCTGATTTTGGATGAAGCCTACAAGCGCGCTGGACAACGAGTCGGAAAAAGTTGTGCAAAGTACTCTTGATGCTCTTGTCGCAGCACGCAAACGAACAACAATCGTTATCGCCCATCGTCTCACTACAATTCGTAATGCTGATCTCATTATTGTTTTGGATAACTCAAATGGCAATGGAGCAGTTGTCGCTGAACAAGGTCGTCATGATGAATTGATGGCAATTCCAAATGGCATTTACCAGAATTTAGTAAACGCGCAAAAATTACAAGGTGTTCTCGAAACAATTCCTCGTACGTTGACACGTGAAGAATCCGACATGAAAAATGGAATCGAGAAGAAGCTCAGCACGATCTACCAGAAACGATCTACCAGTAAGTCTCGACGGAAAGACGTCCTCATCTTGTGAGACTGACAGGTTTCAAACCAGTTGAAGAGCCTGCCTTCACGTCTATTGAAAAACCGTCGAAGAAGAAAAGCTCAGGACTGAAACCTCCAAGCTATTGGCGTGTTATGAGTCTTCTGAAGCCTTATTGGTTCCGCGTTACTATTGGAGTGCTTGGTATGTCATTGAAACTTGTTTTTGTTTGTATTGTCTTCTCTATCAGGCTCCATTCTTGCGGGATTGACCTTTCCAGTTTTTGCTATTATTTATGCAGAGTTCATTCAAGTCTACTTTTATCCTGACCCTCAGCAAATCAGAGATGAATCTTCCTTCTGGGCTTGTATGTTCATTGCACTTGCTGGAGCTTGTTTCATCTCAGCTGGTGGGCCATTCTCTCTCTGCTAGTCTTCTGATACTATTTTTCCAACGTAGTGATGCAAAGAGGTTTCATGGAGTGGGGAGGTCAAGATCTTGTTCGCACATTGCGGTCCTTGGCGTTTGAGAAAATGCTCTATCAAGACATGAGTTTTTTCGATCATCCAGATCATACAACTGGCACATTGTCCCAAATTCTGTCAAGCGATGTTCTTTTGATCAAGGGATGGAGTGGCGACAATATCGGAATCATCATTCAGGTATTCGTCACTCTATCCGACCTTGTTGAGAATTTTGTCATCAGAATGTTGCTTCTATGGTTGCTGGAGTGATTATCGCATTCACAGCTAACGCGAAACTTGCAGCTGTTGCATTGGCGGCCTTTCTTGTGATGATACCTGCTTCTGCCGCTAGGATGAAGTTCATGAAGGGATCGACCAAAGAGATCGAGGAAGGTGCCGAGGTGATTGATTGCTGCGATAAATCAGTCTCACTTATTTCACCCCAGACTGCTGGTTACGTCATCAACGAAACAATCACGAATATTCGCATCGTAACGGCTTATAATTTACAAGCAGTAGGCATGAGTCGTCCATCATTGTTGATCATTCCTCATCTGCAGAGAATGTTGGAATCCTATGACGCTGTTCTTGACCAGGATTATAAGGATGGGAAGTTTAATGCTCTTATCGGTGAGTGACTGGTCCATTTTTGTTCTCACTCCTTATTGTGGGTCTTCCAGGTGGATTGTTTTGGGGTCTGTCCCAGTTTATCCAATTCGGAGCCCAAGCACTTGCTCTTTGGTGAGCAGATACCAATCAGTCCCATCAATCAATCATCATGATTATTAAACAACTTCTTCATCACAATTTTTTGTAGGTATGGATCAGAATTGATGAAAAAGGGAGAAATAACAAATGTTGCCGATATGCTGAGGGTGAGTGTCTTTGGGTCAACCCTTGTATCCTTTCTTGTTTCTTCCTATAGGCTATTTTCGCCCTCATGATGTAAGTTGCTTTATCCGTTTCTCTGCATTCCATTGTTCTTGTTTGTAGGGCTGCAATGGGAGTTGGTAGGAACCAAATTTGATCTATTTGAGATTTACATCAATTCTGCTGATTCTCGGTGTGTTTTTCACAAATTGATTTTTCAGGGCAATCGATGATCTTCATCACTGACGTTAAAAAAGCAAAAGAAGCAGGCGCCCGAATTTACGAAGTAATTGATCGCGAACCTCTTATTGACGCTCGATCAACTATCGGGAAAGAGTTTAAAGATTCAGAAGTCCAAGGGGCTGTTACTGTCTCGAATATCAATTTCCGATATCCCATGCGAACTGACGTTCCAGTCTTCAAAAAAATTTCGTTTGCTGTGGAGCCAGGACAGACAGTCGCACTCGTGGGCGGGTCTGGATGTGGAAAATCAACTGTTATTCAACTTTTGCAACGTTTCTACGACGTTGAAGTTGGAATGGACTCAAATAAGGAATCATCAGGATTGTCAGTTGATGGTGTCGATGTCCGAGATGTCACTGTCAAGTAGGTTCATATTATGGTAGGATCCCACCCGCTGGTTTTTTCAGGAGTCTTCGTGGTGTGATGGGCCTTGTGAGTCAGGAACCCATTCTCTTCAATACAACGATCATGGAGAACATTCGTTATGGCAAACCATCCGCAAGTGATGACGAGGTTATGGCTGCAGCAAAAATGGCGAACGCACACAATTTCGTGGTCGAATTTCCAGATAGCTACAATACGATTGTTGGGAAATTTGGCGGACAGCTCAGTGGAGGGCAGAAGCAAAGAATCGCAATCGCACGGGCAATGATCCGAAATCCGAAGATTCTGCTTCTGGACGAAGCAACAAGCGCGTTGGATGCTGAAAGTGAGAAAATTGTTCAGGCTGCCCTCGATCAATTGCTCGCCGAATCGAAACGAACAACCATTGTTATTGCACATCGTCTCTCGACCATCCAGAATGCTGACAAGATTGTCGTCCTTGCAAATCCGGACAGAGAAGGATCATCAGTTGTAGAAGTTGGAACCCATGCAGAACTGATGGGAATACGGGATGGTGTATATAGAGGCCTCGTTAACATTGCAAGCTCAGGAGATAAGAAGCGCAACTAGAGCGCTCTACTTTTTACATGTACCACACGTTTTTGTGTTGGAAATTGTCAATTTGTCCTCATTTTTGTATTTGTTCATTAATTGGGGTCACATTTGTTGATCAAGAAAGCAGGACGAATTCCCTCGAAGAATATGATATACGAAAAGAAGGTCTCTGGCGGAGAATTGAAGCCCTACACTGTCATGGAAAGGCAGAAAATGACGACCGAATTTCGAAGATATTCCAATGTTGGACAATCAATTAGCGTTTTGGCGGACCAGACAACTGTTCCTGCTTCAAGTTGGGTGTGCTGGGCATGCTTTTTCCTCGTTGTTGTTTGATTTTCTTTGATAATGGATCGAGGGGACTCTTCGGCTACAGCAGAAGCGACCCCTCAAAGTCCTCCCAATGCCACCCACGGGAAGTCACTTCAAAACAACAAGGAAATTGCACACGTATCGAAGAAATCTGGTGCTAATGAAGATGGCAAAGAAACACAGAAAAAGAAAAAGAAGCTTTCCCTCAACGTCTTTCGTTTCTCCACAGGGATAGACCGATTTCTGTTGCTTCTTGGCGCCATAATGAACTTCGCGTCAGGCTGCAGCATGGTGAGTATCAACTCTCTTGATAGTTGCCTGACTTCCTTCTTTTAAAAGCCTATTTTTGTCGTGATCTTTGGGGATATGCTGAACGCTTTCGGTGGAGACAAAGCAGCGACTCATCCTGTTGAGTACTACATCTTGATCCAACTGTACATTGGTCTCGCATCTTTCGCAGTCAGCGCCATCGGGGTAATGGCTTTCGAGCTTGCTGCAGAACGGCAGATTTCCAAGCTGCGACACAACTACTTGGACGCCGTTTTGCGGCAAGAAATGGGCTGGTTTGATCAGTTTGACTCTGGAGTCCTTGCCACGAAGCTCAATCAAAACTGCGTTGATATTCGGTGAGCTCCTGTTGAAATGAATCCGCTGCTTCCATTTCCTGGGGTCTCTCGTTATTCTTCTTCATCGCTTCTTTTAGGGATGGTATTGGAATGAAGCTTGCCCAGCTCTTCGTGTTTGCAGCTGTGGTTAGAAGACTTCCCGCCGTTTTCATTTCTAACTTTCTGTTTTGCAGTTCATTGGGGGCTACGTGGTGGCGTTTTTCAAGGGATGGAAGTTGGCCCTCGTGATGAGCTCAGTAGTTCCCGTTTTGGCTGTTGCGGGATTCTTTTTCATGAAGATGCTAACAACTGCTGCCAGCAAGGAACGCGAATCTTACGCTCAGGCTGGATCTGTTGCGGAGGAAGTTCTTGGAAGCATCCGCACGGTTGCAGCATTTGGCGCTGAGGAGAAAGCGAGAGGCAGGTGAGAGGCTGATTGTCCAATGTGGTCCCGAAAATCTTATTCCTCAAGGTATGAAGAACATCTTGATGATTCTTTGTCTTCTGGAGTTCGCGGAGGGATATTTACTGGAATTGGCCTTGGAATGACAATGGGCTTTCTGTTTTTGTCGTATGCTTTGGGATTTTGGTTTGGAGGAAAGCTCATTGCTGATGATAAAGAATCTGGCTGTACTGGAGACGATTGCTTCAACGCAGGAAAAACCCTCACGGTGTTCTTCTGCGTGGTGAACGCGGCCTTCGCAATTGGTCAATTTGCATCCCCGTTTACGTCCTTTGTGAAGGGTGTCACTGCAGCTGATGAGCTGTTGGAGCTTGTAGACAAGAAATCGAGTATTGATCCAACTGAACCAACTGGGATGAAAGGAACTGAGATAAGAGGAGATGTTGTGTTCAAAAATGTTCATTTTCATTATCCATCGCGCCCTGAGAATCAAATATTCAACGGGATCAATCTTCACATTCCAGCTGGGAAAACCGTTGCGCTCGTTGGAGGGTCTGGCTGCGGGAAATCAACAATTATTCAGATGGTTCAACGGTTTTATGACCCTGATGAAGGAGAAATCTTGATTGATGGGGTTGCAGTCAAAGATTACAATACAGCGTGGATTCGGGACCAAATGTCTTTAGTCAGTCAAGAGCCGCGATTATTTGCTCGCTCGATTGCTGAAAATATTCGGGACGGTAGACTTGGTGCGACAATTGATGAAGTTCAAAGCGCGGCCAAAAACGCAAACGCTTGGAGCTTTATTTCGGAATTCCCTGAAAAGTTTGATACTTTTGTTGGAGAAGGAGGTTCTCAGCTTAGTGGTGGACAGAAGCAACGCATTGCTATTGCCCGTGCCATGCTTCGCGATCCAGCCATTCTGATTTTGGATGAAGCTACAAGCGCGCTGGACAACGAGTCGGAAAAAGTTGTGCAAAGTACTCTTGATGCTCTTGTCGCAGCGCGTAAACGAACAACAATCGTTATCGCCCATCGTCTCACTACAATTCGTAATGCTGATCTCATTATTGTTTTGGATAACTCAAATGGCAATGGAGCAGTTGTCGCTGAACAAGGTCGTCATGATGAATTGATGGCAATTCCAAATGGCATTTACCAGAATTTAGTGAACACGCAGAAGTTGCACGGGGTGGTGCAAACCAATACACGGAAGCTGAGCCGTGACAGCTCAATGCAATCGGATATTCAGCTAGACGTCCAGAAGAAATTGAGCCACTTGCTTCGACGGCCATCCTCGGCAGCTTCCGAATTGCGAACTGTTCAACAAGAAGAACCCGCGAAAGGGACAAAACCACCAAGACCACCGGGGTTTTTGCGTGTTCTCGGACTGCTGAAGCCTCACTGGTTTCCGATGGCATGTGGAATTCTTGGATCGATGGCTTGCGGTGTCGTCTTTCCCGTCTTCGCATTGATTTATTCGGAGTTTCTACCGGTATGTGTTTGAAAGAAAAATCTTAAAAAATACCCACTTTGTTCAACCAGGTTTATTTCCTTGAAGATCCAAATGAAATCCGGAAAGAATCTTCTTTCTGGTCTCTCATGTTTATTGCCATCGCTGGTGGAAGTTTGTTCGCTTACATCTTCGAAAAGTCGTTCATGGAGTGGTCGGGACAACATCTCATTCGTGATCTTCGCGCACTGACATTTGACAGAATGGTCTATCAAGACATGAGCTATTTTGATGACCCTAAGCATTCAACAGGGACATTGTCACAGATTTTATCGAGCGATGTTCTTCTAGTTAAAGGATGGGGTGGCGATAACATGGGTTTGATGATCCAGAACGTCACTTCATTGGCTTGTGGTGTGATTATCGCCTTCACTGCAAATGCAAAACTCGCCGCTGTTGCTTTGGCTTCTTTCGCACTTCTTGTTCCTGCTTCTGCGATGTACGCCCACATTTATTTCTCTTAGCTTGTAGTGTTTCCTCGTTACACAGGCACATGAAGTTTTTGGCCGGCTCTGGGGATGAGATCACAGAGGGATCCCAGGTTTGTTATCTCACCCACTGAAGTCTCTCTTCCATCATTAACCTCTCTAGACTGCTGGGTACATCATCAACGAGTCCATCACAAACATTCGTGTGGTTACTGCTTACAACCTTCAAAAAGTGAGTTCCTTTGATCTGAACAATTGTCCAGCATGTCTTATTTAGAGGATGATGGACGCATACGACATTGTGCTGGATAGAGACTTCAGCCAGGGGAGTGAGTGCTGCACTGGAAATCAAGGCTTGTTTTCTCATTCATTCTGTCAGATAGGAACGCTTTTCTCGGGGGATTTTTCTGGGGCCTCAGCCAGTTTTTGCAGGTAGACATTTTCAACCCATTAATCAGCTTGATTATTGTCCTTTCTTCAGTTCGGCTCCCAAGCCCTCGCGTTGTGGTACGGCAGCAAATTGATGGAAACTGGAGAAATTTCCAGTCTCGCGGTGATGTTCCGAGTACGTGATCGGGTACCAAGAGGCCCTTCAATATCCTGTGCTTAGGCAATTTTCGCAATTATGATGTCGGCCATGGGAATTGGACAATCCATGGTTTTTGCCACTGACGCCAAGAAAGCCAAGGATGCAGCTTCCAGGGTCTACGCTGTAATTGATCGAGCCCCCTTGATTGACTCCAGATCAACCCGTGGAAAGGAGTTGCTGCCTAGTGACATCCATGGAGACATTGTTGTTGAAAACGTTAATTTCCGCTACCCAATGCGCCCCGATGTCCCAATCTTCAGTAAAATCACGTTCAGAATCAAACCCGGTGAGACTGTTGCTCTCGTTGGTGCATCTGGTTGTGGGAAATCGACTGTTATTCAAGTGGGTTGTTGCTCTGGAAGGTAACACACACTCGTTTATCGCTTTCCTGCAGCTTCTTGAGCGTTTTTACGATGCTAAAAGTACCTCGGATCCAACATCCTCGAGCGGTGTTCTCAAACTCGACGGTCTGGACATTCAAGACATCAGAGTCAAGTACGATAAACAACTGCAGTTGATGCCACTCTTTGACCCGTTTCAGGAGTCTTCGTAATGCAATGGGTCTCGTGAGCCAAGAACCAATTCTTTTTAACACGAGTATAATTGAGAATATTCGCTACGGAAAAGCTGACGCTTCGGAGGAGGAAGTCATTGAAGCCGCTCGCATGGCGAATGCCCATGACTTTATCGCTGCATTCCCGGATGGGTACAATACGATTGTTGGGAAATTTGGCGGACAGCTCAGTGGAGGGCAGAAGCAAAGAATCGCAATCGCACGGGCAATGATCCGAAATCCGAAGATTCTGCTTCTGGACGAAGCAACAAGCGCGTTGGATGCTGAAAGTGAGAAAATTGTTCAGGCTGCCCTCGATCGATTGCTCGCCGAATCGAAACGAACAACCATTGTTATTGCACATCGTCTCTCGACCATCCAGAATGCTGACAAGATTGTCGTCCTTGCAAATCCGGACAGAGAAGGATCATCAGTTGTAGAAGTTGGAACCCATGCAGAACTGATGGGAATACGGGATGGTGTATATAGAAGTCTTGTCAACATAGCCACTGCTACTGATACATCTTAGCGATACGAAATTTCACGTCCCGTTTTTTGATGCCTTTTTAATCGTTTTGTTTTGTTTTGTTTTTGGAACTGATGCTTTTGCTACAAACATTAATGCTTACTGCAAGAAACGCGTGAAACGGTCCTAAAAATTATTTGCATTTTTTCAAAATTATTGCATCTTTTCGAGTCAAAAAGAAGGGGGAAAATTCTATTTTCTGTCGGTAGCAGTGGCTATGTTGACAAGACTTCTATATACACCATCCCGTATTCCCATCAGTTCTGCATGGGTTCCAACTTCTACAACTGATGATCCTTCTCTGTCCGGATTTGCAAGGACGACAATCTTGTCAGCATTCTGGATGGTCGAGAGACGATGTGCAATAACAATGGTTGTTCGTTTCGATTCGGCGAGCAATCGATCGAGGGCAGCCTGAACAATTTTCTCACTTTCAGCATCCAACGCGCTTGTTGCTTCGTCCAGAAGCAGAATCTTCGGATTTCGGATCATTGCCCGTGCGATTGCGATTCTTTGCTTCTGCCCTCCACTGAGCTGTCCGCCAAATTTCCCAACAATCGTATTGTACCCATCCGGGAATGCAGCGATAAAGTCATGGGCATTCGCCATGCGAGCGGCTTCAATGACTTCCTCCTCCGAAGCGTCAGCTTTTCCGTAGCGAATATTCTCAATTATACTCGTGTTAAAAAGAATTGGTTCTTGGCTCACGAGACCCATTGCATTACGAAGACTCCTGAAACGGGTCAAAGAGTGGCATCAACTGCAGTTGTTTATCGTACTTGACTCTGATGTCTTGAATGTCCAGACCGTCGAGTTTGAGAACACCGCTCGAGGATGTTGGATCCGAGGTACTTTTAGCATCGTAAAAACGCTCAAGAAGCTGCAGGAAAGCGATAAACGAGTGTGTGTTACCTTCCAGAGCAACAACCCACTTGAATAACAGTCGATTTCCCACAACCAGATGCACCAACGAGAGCAACAGTCTCACCGGGTTTGATTCTGAACGTGATTTTACTGAAGATTGGGACATCGGGGCGCATTGGGTAGCGGAAATTAACGTTTTCAACAACAATGTCTCCATGGATGTCACTAGGCAGCAACTCCTTTCCACGGGTTGATCTGGAGTCAATCAAGGGGGCTCGATCAATTACAGCGTAGACCCTGGAAGCTGCATCCTTGGCTTTCTTGGCGTCAGTGGCAAAAACCATGGATTGTCCAATTCCCATGGCCGACATCATAATTGCGAAAATTGCCTAAGCACAGGATATTGAAGGGCCTCTTGGTACCCGATCACGTACTCGGAACATCACCGCGAGACTGGAAATTTCTCCAGTTTCCATCAATTTGCTGCCGTACCACAACGCGAGGGCTTGGGAGCCGAACTGAAGAAAGGACAATAATCAAGCTGATTAATGGGTTGAAAATGTCTACCTGCAAAAACTGGCTGAGGCCCCAGAAAAATCCCCCGAGAAAAGCGTTCCTATCTGACAGAATGAATGAGAAAACAAGCCTTGATTTCCAGTGCAGCACTCACTCCCCTGGCTGAAGTCTCTATCCAGCACAATGTCGTATGCGTCCATCATCCTCTAAATAAGACATGCTGGACAATTGTTCAGATCAAAGGAACTCACTTTTTGAAGGTTGTAAGCAGTAACCACACGAATGTTTGTGATGGACTCGTTGATGATGTACCCAGCAGTCTAGAGAGGTTAATGATGGAAGAGAGACTTCAGTGGGTGAGATAACAAACCTGGGATCCCTCTGTGATCTCATCCCCAGAGCCGGCCAAAAACTTCATGTGCCTGTGTAACGAGGAAACACTACAAGCTAAGAGAAATAAATGTGGGCGTACATCGCAGAAGCAGGAACAAGAAGTGCGAAAGAAGCCAAAGCAACAGCGGCGAGTTTTGCATTTGCAGTGAAGGCGATAATCACACCACAAGCCAATGAAGTGACGTTCTGGATCATCAAACCCATGTTATCGCCACCCCATCCTTTAACTAGAAGAACATCGCTCGATAAAATCTGTGACAATGTCCCTGTTGAATGCTTAGGGTCATCAAAATAGCTCATGTCTTGATAGACCATTCTGTCAAATGTCAGTGCGCGAAGATCACGAATGAGATGTTGTCCCGACCACTCCATGAACGACTTTTCGAAGATGTAAGCGAACAAACTTCCACCAGCGATGGCAATAAACATGAGAGACCAGAAAGAAGATTCTTTCCGGATTTCATTTGGATCTTCAAGGAAATAAACCTGGTTGAACAAAGTGGGTATTTTTTAAGATTTTTCTTTCAAACACATACCGGTAGAAACTCCGAATAAATCAATGCGAAGACGGGAAAGACGACACCGCAAGCCATCGATCCAAGAATTCCACATGCCATCGGAAACCAGTGAGGCTTCAGCAGTCCGAGAACACGCAACAACCCCGGTGGTCTTGGTGGTTTTGTCCCTTTCGCGGGTTCTTCTTGTTGAACAGTTCGCAATTCGGAAGCTGCCGAGGATGGCCGTCGAAGCAAGTGGCTCAATTTCTTCTGGACGTCTAGCTGAATATCCGATTGCATTGAGCTGTCACGGCTCAGCTTCCGTGTATTGGTTTGCACCACCCCGTGCAACTTCTGCGTGTTCACTAAATTCTGGTAAATGCCATTTGGAATTGCCATCAATTCATCATGACGACCTTGTTCAGCGACAACTGCTCCATTGCCATTTGAGTTATCCAAAACAATAATGAGATCAGCATTACGAATTGTAGTGAGACGATGGGCGATAACGATTGTTGTTCGTTTGCGTGCTGCGACAAGAGCATCAAGAGTACTTTGCACAATTTTTTCCGACTCGTTGTCCAGCGCGCTTGTAGCTTCATCCAAAATCAGAATGGCTGGATCGCGAAGCATGGCACGGGCAATAGCAATGCGTTGCTTCTGTCCACCACTAAGCTGAGAACCTCCTTCTCCAACAAAAGTATCAAACTTTTCAGGGAATTCCGAAATAAAGCTCCAAGCGTTTGCGTTTTTGGCCGCGCTTTGAACTTCATCGATTGTCGCACCAAGTCTACCGTCCCGAATATTTTCAGCGATTGAACGAGCAAATAATCGCGGCTCTTGACTGACTAAAGACATTTGGTCCCGAATCCACGCTGTATTGTAATCTTTGACTGCAACACCATCAATCAAGATTTCTCCTTCATCAGGGTCATAAAACCGTTGAACCATCTGAATAATTGTTGATTTCCCGCAGCCAGACCCTCCAACGAGCGCAACGGTTTTCCCAGCTGGAATGTGAAGATTGATCCCGTTGAATATTTGATTCTCAGGGCGCGATGGATAATGAAAATGAACATTTTTGAACACAACATCTCCTCTTATCTCAGTTCCTTTCATCCCAGTTGGTTCAGTTGGATCAATACTCGATTTCTTGTCTACAAGCTCCAACAGCTCATCAGCTGCAGTGACACCCTTCACAAAGGACGTAAACGGGGATGCAAATTGACCAATTGCGAAGGCCGCGTTCACCACGCAGAAGAACACCGTGAGGGTTTTTCCTGCGTTGAAGCAATCGTCTCCAGTACAGCCAGATTCTTTATCATCAGCAATGAGCTTTCCTCCAAACCAAAATCCCAAAGCATACGATAAAAACAGGAAGCCCATCGTCATTCCAATTCCCAGTCCGGTAAAAATCCCTCCGCGAACTCCAGAAGACAAAGAATCATCAAGATGTTCTTCATACCTTGAGGAATAAGATTGTCGGGACCACTTCCAAGGATCCGCTGCTTACCTGCTTCTCGCCTTCTCTTCAGCGCCAAATGCTGTAACCGTGCGGATGCTTCCAAGAACTTCCTCCGCAACAGATCCAGCCTGAGCGTAAGATTCGCGTTCCTTGCTGGCAGCAGTTGTTAGCATCTTCATGAAAAAAAATCCTCCAACTGCCAAAACGGGAACTGCTGCACTGCACACAAGGGTCATCTTCCATCCCTTGAAAAACGCCACCACGTAGCCCCCAATGAACTGCAAAACAGAAAGTTAGGAATGAAAACGGCGGGAAGTCTCCTAACCATAGCAGCGAACATGAAGAGCTGGCCAAACTTCATTCCAATACCGTCCCTACATCGATAAAGAAGAATGACGAGAGTCCCCGGAGAATAGAAGAGGCGGATGCATTTCAACAGGAGCTCACCGAATATCAACGCAGTTTTGATTGAGCTTTGTGGCAAGGACTCCAGAGTCAAACTGATCAAACCAGCCCCATTTCTCGCCGCAAAACGGCGTCCAAATAGTTGTGTCGGAGCTTGCGAATCTGACGTTCTGCAGCCATCTCGAAAGCCGCTACCCCAATAGCGCTGACTGCGAATGATGCGAGACCAATGTAGACCTGGATCAAGACGTAGTACTCAACAGAGTGGGTTGCTGTTCCGTCTCCACCGAAAGCGTTCAGCATATCCCCAAAGATGAGGACAAAAATAGGCTGTTAAGAGGAAGTTAGGCGACAATCAATACAGTTGATACTCACCATGCTGCATCCTGAAGCGGAGTTCATTATGGCGCCAATAAGCAATAAAATTCGGTCCATCCCTGTGGAGAAACGGAATACGTTGAGGGAAAGCTTTTTTTTCTTTTTATGTGGTTTTTTGCCTTCTTTGCCATCTTCATTATCGTCAAATTTCTTGTTCTGAAGCTTTTGTTCGTCGGTTGCTTTCCGATGCGCGGAAGACATTTTTTCTGTCAAATCGGTTACGCTAGTTGAAGTGTCAGGAGAATTTTCATCAACTTTGGGATCCATTTTTGAACTCCACTTCACGCACAAAAATTAAAACAAAGTGACAGGTCGGCCGGTACCTGATGGTCACAATTTGGCAGTCTCTATCTTTTCCAGTGCGGGCCTCTACCGTACACAGTACAACAGCTACTTGGAAACACGTTGATACACTTAAGCCAAAGTTTTCGTCACTTGCCACATGCCCCAATGGGAACTCAACAGTTTGCCAGAGCAGGAACAGTCGCCAGGAGACTGCTAAGCAAGCGAAGGGCAGCTGTCAATTCGATGGAGTCCACGGTGAAAGATCTTACTTTGGCGAGCTTCGGCCGCCGTGAAATCGAGCTCGCCGAGGTTGAAATGCCTGGCTTGATGTCCATTCGTAAGGAGTTCGGCGCGATGAAGCCTTTGAAGGGAGCTCGTATCACGGGATCTCTCCACGCAACAATTCAAACGGCTGTTCTTGTCGAGACGCTCAAAGAATTGGGAGCCGATATTCGTTGGTGCTCGTGCAACATCTTCTCCACACAAGACCACGCTGCGGCTGCTCTTGCCCGCGATGCATCGTGCACTATTTTCGCCTGGAAGGGAGAAACCTTGGAAGAGTATTGGTGGTGCACTTTGAAGGCTGTGACGTGGCCGGGATATGATGGGCCCCACTGCATCGTTGATGATGGAGGTGATGTCACCCTTCTTATTCATGAGGGAGTCAAAGCTGAAAAGGCGTTTGAAGCGACTGGAGCCCTTCCCGATCCAAACTCAACGGAAAACGAAGAAATGAAAGTAATTCTGAAGTTACTTCGTGAAGAATTGGAGAAGGATCCTAAAAAGTGGCATAAAGCAGCCGCCTCTGTTGTGGGCGTCTCCGAGGAAACCACTACAGGAGTCCATCGACTTATCCAAATGGCTAATAAAGGCGAACTTCTGTTCCCAGCAATCAATGTCAATGATTGTGTCACTAAGTCAAAGTTTGACAATATTTATGGATGCCGCCATTCATTGCCAGATGCTATCATGCGAGCAACAGGTATCTCTCATTGGTTGCGCCTTATAAAAAATCATTTCTGTGTTTAGATGTTATGATTGGAGGAAAGTCTGTCGTCATTTGTGGCTACGGTGACGTTGGGAAAGGATGCGCTTCTGCCATGAAAGGATGTGGTGCTCGAGTCTACGTCACTGAAATTGGTGAGATGGTTCGGGAGCTAGGAATTCATCTCACTTTATGCTTCCTCAGATCCGATTTGCGCTCTACAAGCTTGTATGGAAGGCTTCCAAGTTGTCAAGCTCGAGTCCATGCTGGAACGAGGTGACATCTTCGTCACGACTACCGGTAATATGGGAATTGTGATGGCTGAGCACATCCAAAAGATGAAAAACAACGCCATTGTTTGTAACATCGGCCACTTTGACAACGAGATAGATATGGCCGGGCTTCAGGTCAGCCCAAGAATGAACAAGGAAGATTTATCAAAAATAGATGTCTTGCAGAAAATTCCCGGTGTCAAGCGCGAAACAATCAAACCACAGGTGGATCGTTTCGTTTTTCCGGACGGCAAGGGAGTCCTTGTTCTTGCCGAGGGACGTTTGGTCAATCTGGGATGTGCCACGGGACATCCGTCTTTCGTCATGTCATGCAGCTTCGCCAACCAAACTTTAGCCCAAATTGATCTGTGGACAAACAAGGATACGGGAAAGTACACAAAAAAGGTCTATCTTCTTCCAAAGCATTTGGACGAGAAGGTTGCCCGTTTGCATCTCACTTCTCTTGTAAGCTATCAGTGATCCACCTGCTTTATTTCAATTTGTTCAATCAGGGTGCTGAATTGACGCAATTGACCAAAGAACAAGCAGACTACATTGGTGTGCCAGTAGAAGGTCCATTCAAACCAGATTCATACCGCTATTAGATAGAATCAAAATTTTCTCTTGAAACCGCTTGCATGCAGTGAAACTCGCATGTAGACTCGGAAGCTTTTGTGTTCAAGTCGCTGTTGATTCTTTTTTGGTGATTGATTGTAACTAGAGCTGCTGGAAGATGACGATGAAAGCTACAGATGACGTTGCACATCTCGCACCGTTTCACTGCCTTCAAGTCACTATTGAATTTGCCCAGAATCTAGCCGCCACCGATCGACGAGTAAGGGTCTCCTGCTACCTGATGCATGATTCTGAGAAAATCATATGAGGGCATATCGAAATCTTTAGAGCTTCATCAAGTTTCTCTGTCTCAGGGTGTCTATGCAAAAGTTGTTCTTTTCAACTCTGACAATTCTGTTGCGCATAGCCTTCAGAGTGACGTTGTCCTTGATTCTGGTCTTACCCAACATTCGATTCACGAATGCTCATTCCATATGCTGCTCAGAGGCGCTTACAGTGAGATAAATCTTGACACCGGAACCATCGGATGAAGTACTGGGTTCAACATTCACAATCGAAATATCAGAAGAATTGAAACTGTTGCTGTTCTTATTTATGTTGCTGTTTCAACTAGACACCTCGTTCTTTGATTTTGCCGGAAGTTCGCAGTCCCCTGTTTGTCTTCAGATTTGCCATATGGTCGGTCTCTCCCGGATCTAGCGATACTCAACTCGGTCAGTACACGTTGGACTTGAGCCCATTCAATGACCGAAAGAAGTCGCTTGCAGCCAAAATGAAGGTGATCACATCTCCTGACTAAATTGCATGTATTTTTATTTTTTTAGCTCAAGGACCGAGAGCTCAAAGAATCTGGCCATCTCAATGTACGCGTCAAATGTCGACGCAGAGCATCACGACGGCATCCGTTATGAAGTACGTTCCGAAGAAAGTCGGAGAGAACGAGAGCTCATCAAGAAACGAAGATCCCTCAAGAAACTTAGATCATTGCACGTTTTTCTTTTGGATGGAAAAGGATTTCCTAATGTTGAACGTCTCTCAAAGTTGGTATGTTCGTACGGACAGAGCGAGGCAAAATTGGTGTGTTCTGTCTCCCATAGGATCCGTTCGTTCGCTTTCTTCTTGGAAAGGTCGTCCTGAAATCCGAAGTTCGAAAGAACGCGGGCACTTCTTGTTCGTTCAATGATCTCTTCAGCCTGCCATACTCGGGAGAGACCGAACTCGGGTGCGAAAACAGGATGTCCATTTCCCTCGCATGACATTTTTTTCTCCTTCAGTGTAGAGCTATGGGATCAAGAAACCTTGATGTCAGATCGTCAGCTGGCCTTCCAGAAAATTGATCTTCTACAGATTTTGCATGGAGATTTCTACAACCAGCCACATGATCTCCTAATCGAAGTAAGGAAAGAAGTTAGAACTGTTCTCTCAATTTGATTGCAGCTGAAGGACAAGAAAGGTCGACCTGGCGGGGAGATTCGCATTTCGCTTGGGGTTCTCTGAGGATCGTCTACTGAGCAGTTCGGTTGAGACAGATGCCTCTCTAGACGAATTTCCCCTTGGGGGTTCGTCAACATGGGGGTTGGTCAAACACGTCGCTCTCAAGAGTCAAAATTCAAGAGCGTCTTCAGGTGCCGTTCTTAGTTGGTGGAGTGATTTGTTCACTGAAATGCTAATAAGTTAATGGTGCTCTGAACGTTGATCTGTGCCCTTCAACCAATTTTTATCCGCTCTAAATCCCGTATTTTTTCTTTTTTAGATTCTCCTGCATCTTTGCGTGATTTTGAGTCCGATGATGACATTAATAGCGACGATGAATTTTGGGATGACCAACGATACGCAACCAAGCATCTTAACGGCAGCATGGGGACTGTCGCGACTTTGAGGTGCAACATCTACAGAGCCGATCAACTTCCTTTGTCCCAAAATGCTGTAAGATCTTCGTTCGCCAGACGCAGAATGATTTCTTCAATCCACTCGAAATCACATTTTATTTCAGAATCCGTACATCAAAGTCAGTCTGGGAAGACATACGGTGTCGACATCCTCTTCGCGACGCTTCGACAATGAAAGTCATTTCGACGCTATTTGTGATCTTCCCATAGCGGTGAACGCTTTATCATGTAAGTTCGAATTGTTCAACGAAAATGAAGCACTTGTTTTGCAGCTTTGAGGTGTTTGATCGGAGCTCGGGCGAGGAGCGTGGGTTGGGACGGACGTGCCGTTGACTTGGCTGGCTTTTTCTCGCATCGAGGGAACATTTTTGAAGCATCCATACGTGTAAGTTGTTATGATCGTGTTAAGTTGTACTTCCCTTTCTTGCAGCTTTTCCATTCCCTTCTAGTCCTTCTCCACCCAAAACGCAACGAAATGGCGTCTTGTTTTTCCGTCTTGAGAAAAAGACAATCCCTGTTCGTGCTGCTCAACTTCATGACAAATGAACATTTTTTCAGTGTTGTCCTTTATTTTCTATTTAAGCTAAACTTTGGACCCTTTTCACTTCCTATATTGTTTGCCGGCAATCGAGAACATCAACTGGTTCACGACCTTTCTCCCTTGAGAAGAAGGCTTTGTGTGACGATGATAGACACTCTAGCCGCTACTTGCCACAACCTTTGATGTGTGGCACCCCAGGACTACCAGACAAATAGACATTGTCTCTCTTCTCCAGGTTTGATTTGACAAAATTCATTTAATGATTGACGCAAGGAACTTCTAAATAGGATCATGTGGAACCTGTTTCGACGCAACACCAAAACAAAGGATCAGAAATTCGGGGAGTCATCCATCTCTGCGACTGATTCCCCCAATCACCCGCAAGCTGTTCTAAGAACGTCCACAGATCGCAACGTATCTGGTGAGCCTCCTAATTGTCTTTCATTCAAGCACTTTTGTTGTTTTGATCAGATCCAAGTATGAAAACATCGCATCGAACAGTTCTCTCAGAATGGCGATTGGAGCCAACGACGGAGGCTGGGGTTCTTCGACACTATCATCTCAAACATGATCGCTATCCCACGGAAGGCATATTCTTTATGATTCATCGACTGTTAGCTTTAGCAACATCGACCAGCCCTTCTCAGCGCGCCACCAACCGTTATCGATGGCGAGTCCAACTGGTAGAAGGCCTACTTCTCCCCTTAGCCCCAGTGCCGCATCAAGCGTAGTCTCACCAAGTCTCATTCAGGTCAGATTCAATACAACTCGCGCCCCCCCGCAAATTGAAGAAACCAGGCAAGCAGAAGCATCGTCGAGTGAAATCGCAGGAAATCCTGAGGAGACCAAACATCCCTACACTCTCTTTCTCGAACGGCAACAACGCCAAGAACAAGAACGCTGGGGAGCACAAATACCCCAGTTTGGGGACGTACGCTCTCAGCAAAGTTTATCAGGGTCGCCAAGCACATTGCTTCGCAGCGCGACGCCGACCCTTGTTCGATCAGTTAGAGCTGCGGGAATTTCGCCCCTCATACCACGCTCGAATGATTACGACATCAAGACGATAGAATGTGCCACTGTCCCGAATGTTGAGAATTTTGGTTCCGCGATTCCGGTCGTCCATTCCCGACAAGCAGCACCCTCGACAGGACGTTCAGCAACTGTGGATGCGGTGGCGAGACGACGTTTGCAGCAATCGAAGAACCCAAACAACCTCGGGTTTGCTCTTAGCGTGGAAGGGACCCAAAGCTCGGGCTTCAGTGGTTTGTGCAAAATTCAGAATCCTCTTCAAGGAACCCACGCGAATCAAGAGGCATCCACGCCTCTCATGAGGCCAGCGCAGCAGGATTGAAGAACATCAGAAGAGAGAGTCAATCATCGAACGCATCAGAAAAAGGGGAAGATGCGAGTGTTTCATCACAGCTGATTCCCCGAAATGATAAACCAGAAACGTGCATTTCGCCGCGTCTTGATGCAAAAATTAATACAAAACGGAAATCTCGTCATCTTGTCTCAACTGCTGTTCAAGAACAACCTGCGTCCTCTCCAATTTCTGAGACGAGCTTCCCCGGAAACATCGACACAAGCATGATGGCAAGATGTCCAAATCCCAAAACTCACAACAACTTCAGGGCGTCAACTACAACCAGCTCTTCACCAAGAACGGTCTTCAAGGTATTCTGTTTTCCGAATATCGTTCCCTCATAAAAGCTGTGCAACTTGTCTCAGGCATTCAAGACACCCAAGGGTCTCGTCAGACGCTCAATACGTCGCCTTCTCGAATCCGTCAACGTCACGCAACGTCCTTCGTTTCTCCGCTTCCCGCTTCCAATGAAACGTCGACCACTACGACGCGGACAAACGCCACGACAGAGAACGACGTGGCATTTCATATCATGAAACCAAACTCGTCCCATTTTCTCACGCAACGGCAGTCGGAATTCACCATCATCAGTATGGAAGACCCGATCTGATTAGAGCTTTGCCATCTCAGCCTGTCCCAATCTCCGTTTCTTCTCCTCATCCATTCTACGTTATCGGCCCCAATGGAATTTCTCATTCCTGTCAAAATCCCCATGGCGGACCCTCCGTAAGAGTCCCGTTGCGGCAACCATCACATCCTGAAGTGCGAATGAATTCTCAAATGGGAGAATCAGCTCAAAGAAGCTCTCTCCCTATCGCACAAACCTAAGTGGGATCCGATTTCACTTTACTGATCTTTCCACAGAAACCGTTCCTCTCATTCATTGCGATACTGTCCGCGAACGTTTCAGGAAGTCGAATCGGAAAACCTCACGTTCCAATTAGCGAACTCTCGTCAAGTTTGCAGGTTCTCCGTGAGTCCAATCCTGAGGAAATCGTCTTCTGCCAGAACGACCCACAAGGGCCTTCTCGACGCGGAACAGCAAAATTTCTCTTTCCACCGATCTTTCCAACGCGCCAAGCCGTTGCGACGCTAAACCGATTGGCCGATGGTACTGCAACAGCGTCGGCTGGTGCGAAACGCAGTGGACACACCGTGGCTCTGTGGCCCGCGGGAATTTCATGGGGTGAACGCGGAATCTCTTCCGGTTTGGGTTGACAGTAGAGTCCACGG